CACTGTTTCCTTGCCTGAGGATGTGATTTAACGGCTAAGGGAGGAAGAAGAAGAAGAAGAAGAAGAAGAAGAAGATGAAGACGATGGCTAGGTGGTGGTTGGGGAGATTACGGCTCGAGCTGAGGGGGTCTTGGAAAAGGACTCGGGTAAAGTCCCCGAGTCATCGAAGATCGAAGATGCCTCCGTCGAGATGAGCAAATGGCAGGTATTTCTGAAGGGGGCGGCTCCGAGGCCCTTCGCAGCGAGGAGAACACCCCAAGTGGCTCACTTGGAGCAATAGATATTGGAGACTCGCCGATTCTCCCTGCATTTTCCGAGGAGGAAATTCGGGAGGCCCAAGCTACGAGGACTCCCAAAGTAGACGGTGCCCATTGAGGGGAGGACCTCTTCCGTGGTTACTTTATTGGGGTCGAGGATGCTACTGACCTGAGTGAAGCATCGAGTCTCCTCGATGAGGCTCAACAAGCCTTAAATCGGGTGAGTCTCAACTCCCTTTGTCGATATCATACTTAGTTTATTTCTTCTCTTCCTGTCTAATTTCCTTTATTTTTTTCGTATAAGCTTTGGCACTCCATCAGGAGGCATTTCAAAGTTCCGAGCAGAGCTGAGCCGATATGAGGCCGACCTCCGAGGGCTCACGGAGGAGAGAAATGACCTTAAACTTCTCAGTGGGCAAAAAGAAGAGGAGATCAAGGACCACCGAGCCGAGTTGGCCAAGGCTCACCAAGATCAGACCGACCTGATCGAGCAGGTAATGAAAATCTTAAAAGCTCATGGGCTCGATTCGGGAACGGTGACTAACATTTCAATATCACAGCTGCAGCAGAAGGTCAAGAGGATCGAGCAGTTCCGCGAGGAGGTAAACATGATGAAGGCGGAGACCTTGGGGTGGAAAGAAAGTATGGACCGCTATGCTTCTGAAAAAGAGGCTGCTCAAGCCCAATTGTCATCGGTCAAAAGTCAGCTTCGAGGCATGAAGGAGAAGAGCTCAGCTCAGGCAAAGAAAATAGAGGAGCTCGAGGCTCGGTTGGCTTCCGAACTTGCAAACACAAAATCTGAAGCTGAAAAGGCAAAGGCCGAGGCAGAGGCGATCATGGTTGTTTACCGGGACGATGCTGACGCCGCTCAAGTCCAAGCGAGAGAGGCAGCCGAGACCGCTCAAACTCAAGCACATTGGATTGATGAACTCGCCAAATGCCAATATCGGAGGGAAACCCTCGAGGAGATCCATGCTCGAGGTTTCGATCTTACCGACGAGATAATACAGGCTAAAGAGCATGAAGCTGATGCTAGAGCGCTGGCCTCTTCCGATGATGATGATAATGATGGAAACAAGAGGGGGTCCGAGAATGGGGCGGACCTCAATGGAGAAGAAGCTTCCCCTGAGGAAAATTAGGAATCTTAGGCTTTTTCCTTTTTGAATTTTTGTGCGGGACCCTGATCGGTCCTTGTAAATATTTTCGTATATATAAAAGATCTTTTTTCTTTTTGAATTGTCTTTATTCTATTTCCTGCCTCATAAAAATTCTATTTCATTCATGCCTTCATGCCTTATGGAGATTTTGCTCACAAGTTTGGGACTTTAGGCAACTAGACCGAAGTCGAACCAGTGTAGTCTTTAAAATCGAGTGAGTACTTGCTCGAACTCGAAGTAGAGTGACCCTTAGGTTTTAGTTGAGTAAGGACGATTTCTCGAACTCAAAAAATAAAATGATCCTTAGGCTCTTGAATTAGGCCGATATGGCCTCAAAAGAATGGCTTTTCCCTTTTTCGGCTTGAAAAATTAATCATAAAAATTTGTCATGCCTTAGCACGAGATACATTTGTACCCATTAGGTTTTTCGAGGATTGGTGTTATCGAAATCCTTTGCTTTGTTATGCCTTAGCACAAAATTGTCCGGGAGTTTGAACAATGCGATACCCCTTAGGGTTTTTCGAGGGTCAATATTATCGAGATCCTTAGTAATTCAGCCGAGGGTTGCCTTTTTTAACCGGATTATGAGAATATTTGAAGGCCTATTTTATAATGGAATTCGGATGTCTCCGAACCGTGTTAATTTGGCCATAGCCTTTAGTTTGGGATTTGCCCCTTAAGCTTGTTTCCCTACTATACTTCGAACTCGTTCAAAGTGCTAGTTCCTGAGTGGGGTGGCTGTAGCCTATAAAATCGAGGATTGCCTTTTTTAAGGTCTTACGATTTTGAGGTATAGTAATTCGATCATGTCAATTTTTCAGCCGACAGTCCCCGAGTATAGGGTAAATTGTTTGAACTTCAGTTGTCATCGGCCCTTAAGCCAGTTTCCACAATAGATCATAAGTATGAAATTGTAAAGTATAAATTTCTCTAAGGCATGGAACATCTGGTAAGGAAAAATACTTCTTTCAATAGATTATACATGTGTACATGTTTTGCCATTAGGGTTCAAGTAATCTACACGGACACGGTACATTTGACCGTTTGGCCCTTTACCTATCGAGGCCCTGTCGACACGAAGTATTTTCCTTGTAACTATCCGAGGGTGATGCCCCCCTAATATTCGAGGTTGATTGTAAAAGAGCCTCGAATACTGTTGAATTGCTCTAAGTTAGCACGAACAATGGTTGCCTCATTAAAAACCTCCCGAAAAAACCCATTTGGGACGAAATCCGTTCTAAGGGAAAAAGAGTGAAACGCGTGCTTTCAGACTTAAGGACTTTGTATTTGAAGAATCCTTTGGTGTCTTCGATTAAACACCTGTAAATGGTTAGTATAAAATATAAACGAAAATGGAGAAGGTCGTACCTTAGTAGTAATATTGTTTGAGGAGTGATATGTTCCAATTGTTTGGTAATTGTTCGCCGTTCATCGTGCCAAGTTCGTAGGATCCCTTTCCGATGATATCGAGGACCTGATACGATCCCTCCTAGTTCGGGCCAAGTTTTCCTTCATTTGGGTCTCGAGTATTGAGGGTGACCTTCCTCATAACCAAGTCCCCAATTTTAAAGTGTCGAAGATTGGCTCTTCGATTGTAGTACCTTTCGATCTGCTATTTCTGTGCGGCCATTCGAACGAGGGCGGCTTCCCGTTTTTCATCTAGCAATTCGAGGCTTGTATTCATAGCTTTGTGATTTGACTCTTCCGTTGCATATCGAAACCTGATGCTAGGTTCCCTGACTTCAACCGGGATCAGAGCTTAGGGGCCATATACTAAAGAGAACGGTGTTGCCCCCGTACTGGATTTTAACGTTGTTCGATACGCCCAAAGGACTTCGGGTAATATTTCTCTCTATTTTCCCTTAGCGTTGTTCAATCTTTTCTATAGATTTTGATTGATGGTCTTGTTTGTCGATTCGGCCTGTTCGTTCCTGCTAGGATGATATGGCATCGACATGATCCTTTTTTATTTTATGATCTTTGAGAAACTTTGTCACTTTGATGCCGACGAATTGCTTTCCATTGTCGCATACGATCTCGACAGGTATCCTGAATCGGCATATAATGTGGTCCCAGATGAAGTCTATGACTTCTTTCTCTCTAATTTTCTCAAAAGCCTGTGCTTCAACCCACTTAGAAAAGAAGTCAGTCATAAATGAAATAAATTTAGCTTTACCTGGGGCCGATGGTATAGGGCCGACGATATCCAATCCCCATTTCATGAATGGACATAGGGATAAGACTGAGTGGTGTTGCTCTCCGGGTTGGTGAATCATCGGCGCATCCTTTGACATTTGTCATACTTTCGAACAAACTCTTTTGTATCCTTTTCTATATCAGCCCAATAGTATCATGCTCTGATGACTTTGTGAACTAACGATTCAGCACTAGAATGATTTCAGCAGGTGCCCTCATGGATTTCTCGTAGGACGTAGTCGGTATCTCCTGGTCCCAAACATATTGCCAATGGTCCATCGAACATCCTTCTATATAGTGTTCCATCTTCGGCCAATGTGAATCGTGCGACCTTCGTACGTAGAGTCCTTGATTCCTTAGGATCCGATGGAAGCTTCCCTTTCTTTAGGTACTCGATATATTTTTTCCTCCAATCCTAGGTCAGACTTATGGAGTTGATTTTGGCATGGCCTTCTTCGATTACTGACCTTGAAAGTTGTACGACCGTCCCCGAGCTAATCTCGTTGTCTTCGACTGATGACCCCAAATTTGCAAGGGCATCGGCCTCGCTGTTTTGTTCTCGAGGCACATGCTGTAGGGTTCATTCTTTAAACCGATATAGAGTCACCTGTAATTTATCCAAGTACCTCTGCATTCGATCTTCTCGAACCTCGAAGGTTCTTCTGACTTGATTTACCACAAGCAGGGAGTCACGTTTGGCCTCGATGACCTTTGCTCCCAAAACTTTAGCTAGCTCGAGACCTGCAATCATGGCCTCATACTCGACCTCATTGTTAGTTAACTTGGAAGTTTTGATAGCTTGTCTAATTGTATTACCCGTGGGCGGCTTCAAAATGATGCCTAGCCCAAACCCCTTCACATTCGAAGCACCGTCTGTGAAGAGGGTCCACGCCCCCAATGATGTACCCTACTTTAATAATAGTTCCTTTTCGACCTAGGGTATGAGGGCTGGCGTAAAGTCGGCCACGAAGTCCGCTAAGATTTGAAACTTGATGGTCGTTCGGGGTGGTCGATACTCGATATCGTACCCACTGATCTCGATGGCCCATTTGGCCAATCGGCCCGAAAGTTCGGGCTTATGCAAAATATTGCGAAGGGAATAAGTAGTCATCACACAGATCGGGTGACACTAAGGTTATGGTTTTAATTTCCTAGAGGCGCTTATTAGGGAAAGCTAGGATTGGAACCGCAACTTGTCCATGTGGTAATTATTTGAATTTAAGAGAACCATTCTCAAGGATTCATCATGACACGTTTCTTCCATGTCCTCATCTACTATATCAATCATAGAGATCACTCCATAGTCATGCGATTGCTTCATTGACTTCTGGATATGGAAGATTTCTTCTTTATCATTCAAGTAGAATTTCAGTTCTCCCGCTTCCACATCTCAAATGACCCGCCCCGTAGCAAAAAATGGTCTACCAAGTATGATGGGGACCTCTCTATCCTCTTCGCAGTCCATTATCACAAAGTCGTCTGGAAAGTATAAATTACCCACATTGACAAGAATGACATCAATGACCCCAAACGGATGTTTTAGAGTTCGATCCGCCATAAGAAGCTTCATAGAGGTAGGCCTTGGATTACCCAAACCGAATATCTTAAGCACAGCGTAAGGCATTAGATTAAACACACCCAATCTGCCATTATGTGCTCTGGCGCAACTTGTCACACCAATCGTACAAGGTATAATGAACCCGGATCCTCCATTATTTTCATTCTGATTTGTGAAATGATTGCACTGTACTAATGTGTCACTTTGACGATTTTTCTTCATGGTGACCAAGTCTTTCATGAACTTGGCATACCCTGGCATTTTCTCAAGTGCCTCTACAAAAGGCACAGTAACAATGATCTGGTTCAACATGTCATAGAATTTCTGCAACTGTCCCTCTTTTTGTTGTTTGGAAAACCTCTGTAGATAAGGAGGAGGTGGTCTAGGTAGCTTCTTGTAGGATTTAGAAGCCTCCTTAGTTGCTTCTTTGATTACTTCATTTCCTTTGGGAGGTATATCAATTACATCTTGAAGAGAACTAGGTGCTTGTTACATCTTTTCAACTACATTTGGCTCTACTACCGGTACATCGACTTTAGGAGGGTTAGCAACTCTAGTAGGTGTAATCTCCTCTTCTTCATCATCTTCAATAAAAATGGTTCTTCATTTAAGAACTTTACCACTCCTCGTGGTAATTGCAAAGACATGGCCTATACCATCATTTCCCTTTGGATTTACAACAATATCACCTGACAATGCTCCGCGTGGCCTCACATTCAGTTGAGATGAAATATCTCCTAATTGATTCTCAATTTGCTTGATTAACGTGGTATGAGAACTGACCATTTGATTGATAACTCTCCTTTCTTTGTCGAACTGCTCCTAGTTTTTAATCATTCTCTCCATCATAACTCTTAGCTCAGGGCACCAGAAGATTGCCCTTGACTGTTGTGGGACCTTTGTTGGTTGTAGTTTTGAGATGGCCCTCCATTGCGATTTCCGTGATTATTGTCGTTTCAGCCTTGATTGCCTTGGTTGGACCAATTTGAACTACCTCATTGCCATTGGTTGTCATGTATCTATTATCCTTGGTTGTTAGACCTTTGTTGACCTCCTTGATAGTTACCCACATGTTGAGCTCCCTCATTTTGCATTTGGTAACACTGTTCTTGGAAGTCGCCTTCTTGATATGATCCTTGGGAAAAATAAGTGCCTTCTTGACCCTGGAATTGGTTACCCATTGATGTTTAATTAAAACCCGAACCTTGAACATTTTTCATAGCATTAACTTGCCTTGGCATTTGGCTCTTCGCTAGCAACTTCAATGTTGTCGTCAATTCTGCAATTTGTTCTCCTTGATCTTCCATTTGCTTAGTCAAGTTTACCGTAGATGGATCCCATTGGGGCACATTAGCTCTAGATTTCCAAGTGGCTGATGTGTTGGCCATTTCATCCAATATGTCTTCAGCTTATTGATTCGTCTTGTTCATAAAATTTCCCCCCGCTAATTAGTTTACATAGGTCTGATTAGTGGTATTAAGACTATGGTAGAATGATTGAAGGAGCATGCTGTTAGTCATGTCGTTATTTAGACATTCCTTAACCATTCCACGATATCTCTCCCATATTTCATGTAATGCCTCTGTGGGATGTTATCTAAACCCCAAAATTTCATCTCTAAATATGGCCATTCTCCCCGGTGGGAAATATTTGCCCAAGAACTTCTTCACATGTTCGTCCCATGAGTGAATTGAATGATTTGGCAATCTCTCCAACCAATCTAAAGCTTTCTCTCTCAATGAGAACAGAAATAACCTCAATTGTGCTACTTCATCCAAGACATTTGGTTGCTTGTTCATTTGGCATACATCGATAAAGTGCTTGAGATATTTGTTGGCATTTTGATCGTGGTCTCCTATGAAATTTTCTCTATATTGAAGCATGTTAATCATAACACTAGTGATTGTTAAGGTACTCCACCCTTATCCTTGATGGTACAATCGCACTAGCATATCCTCAATTTCGCATCGCTTATGGTAGAGCTTATTGTGCTCAAGGTGCCTATGGAACCTATTGTTGAAGTGGTGAAACTTGTTCGTTCTGTTGGTTTCGATTTGCTGGTCGGTGTGCACGAGGTGCTTCCCCGATTGGACCTAAAGGCAAAGCGCCAAGATCGTCTCCTGCCCTCACAATCTACACCAAAAGTAAACGGATCAAAGTAACAACGAAGAAAATATAAGAACTCGAATGAACACACAATAACACGATAACACAAGAACACCGTACTCCCCGGCAATGACGCTAAAAATTGGTCTCGTCCAATCCTACTCTCAAATTGAAAGTAGTATGGTTTATTGCAATAATAAACCCAACAAGGTTGGGGTCGATCCCACGAGAAGTATAATGTGTTCTAGAATGTCAAAGAGTATGTGAATTCAATGAACTTAAAGTAATATTCAAATAAAAGATTGATTTTCTGTAATTACTTCTAAAATTATGACTACGAAATTTAATGAAACACTTAGAATGCGAAAATAAATAGAAAGTAGTAATCAATAAGAGAAAGCACTAGGGTTTCTCCTCCTTCATGTATGCTATGATATGGGTATGGATGTATTCAATTCCAATCAATCAAACATGTGTTGTGACAACAATATCAATAATACCAACTTAGTAATTTCTAACACTAAAAGTTTTTACTCACAAATGCCTTTCGAAGCTATTTTAGAGCTGTATGCAATTAAATTGTTAATTCCCAAGTAAGAATCTCCCTATTCCTAGTTTGATTTCATTAATTGAGATTATATTAATTCGGTAATCTACCAAATTCTATGATACAAGATTTGTACTAAACTTGTTTCTACTTTTCCAAGTTAGAATCTAGTGTTTACAACCACCAAATCATACAATAAAGTATGGAGCAATTAGTAACGTAATATTTACTCAAAGACAAATCGATATTAATAACACATAGTCATAACACTGCTCCAAATTCATAACCCTAGCTAATGAGTTTAGCTAGACATGACAATAGAAGAAATAATCAAATTATCTTTTAATCCAGTCATTGATGCGAAGAAGAAGATTGAGAAACCGTGATGTCACTTGTTAACCCTTTGGAAAACTCACAGTTGCTCGTACAACATTCCTCTCTGTCAAAAGTTGTCAAAAAAGACCTAAAAAATATATTTATACTCTTCTAAAAAGCTGATAAAATTATAATCGTCGGGTCTTGTGTGGTCAAGTAGCGTGGTCCACATAGGATGCATGGCCCAATACTCTATTCCTTTATCTCTCAATCCGTGGCCAAGATGTGTGGACAACGCAGGATGCGTGGCCACTTCCAGAACTTAAACTTCCAACCTCCAAGTTCTCCAAATGCGTGGCCCACACAAGATGGACTTTTGCTTCTTTTGTTTTCTTCTATAGTTTTGGCCTGAATTTGATGATTTTCTTACATGAATTTAATGATTTTCAATATCTTAATTCTCACCCAACTCCACGACCTGCAATCATATCATTCAAAATATAATTAGTCCATTAATCACATTAACGGGGGCATAACTCTATTAAAAGGCATAAGAGAAGTTGGGAAAATACCAACTTATCAAAGGACACTTGTGAATTAGCTATGACTTGAAAATGATGATTTCTAGGATGATTTTGAACAAGAGATCGGTTGGGTGTATGATGTACTACACTTTATGGGTATGTAAGGGTCATGAGATAATTCGGGTTTGATACCCGTTGTGGATGTAGTGTGCAAGGAAAGAAATCACTTGGTTGCTTCTTTTTTATATTCATGTACTGGTGGAGCGCGGGTTGTTCGGTGCGTATTGGCTATGCATTGGATATTGGAGAGAGGTGAGCGACTCTTGAGAAGGTTATAATGAGTTCAAGATGTATATGTGGTGTTTAAATATTTTCGGATTTGCGTATGGGTAGAACTTGGGGCTTGTATTGGATAGTGCCGAGACTTGCGGTGTGTTTGGATCGGGCTACGTGTTGCAACGGGGTCGTGATAGGTCATGATTCTTCGTGCTGACTTCGTGTGCTTTACTTCTCCCTTGTGAGATGGGTTCATAGTGTTGTGCTTTGTGGTGGTATTTGTGGGGCTCGTAGAGTGGTTCTCTCATTTGGTTCTCCTTTCATCTTTGGTTATATTGGAGTTGTTACTTGTTAGGTGCACGAATTGCGTCGTATGTGACTAGATGGCATTTGGTGTGACTCGTCAGTTGGATAACTTATACTAGGTAAGATGAAATCATTGGACCTAGACTTAGTATGATCGACCTTGGATAAGGTATGTTTAGATAATAATGTCATTAATTAGTTTAGAGTTTGGAAATAGTCCTGGTCGGGCGAGAGAACTCCGCGAATTGTTGATTGGATGAGTGGTTATGAGTTTCCATATGTTTCTTACATCATTAGCGGTGTTGTGAATATTTGGAACATGGTTGTTATTTGATATAAAGTTTGTTACTAGTACCGGGTTTAGTAATGGGTAGCTATTATGATGGAAGATATTACTATGAGTGCGTTGGTTATGTGGTATATCGTGTGATTGTTGTGAATACCTAATTTTTGTACTATTTTAACACCTCCTAAAGTCATTAGTGTTTTGTTGCTTTAATTATTTTTCCCAATTTTTGTGTCTTTGATTGCATATTTTCTATCATAAAAATACCAAAAAATAGTTCTTTCTTTATTTGTGCATTTTAGGAATTAACTAACTATTCAATTGGTGAATTAATCTAGTTAATTGATTATTTGAATAAGTTACTTAATTAATTTATTGATTTGTGTAAATTTAATTTAATAAGTAGGATTAAGAAAGAAATTGAGCCAAATTTGAAAGAGAAAGTGGCCAAAAGTGCAAGATAAGGGGCTACCCTTGAAAGGGTCTGAAACGACGTAGTTTTGCCTCAAAACTACGTCGTTTCATTAAGTGACCCAAGATCAAATCTCACCCATTGATCACTCCTTGATCTAATGATCCATATTTGATCTCTCAAGAGGTATTTAAAGCCTCAAAAATCTGAAAAATTCCCTCATTTCCCCCCACAACTCTTTCTCTCTTCTCTCTCTCTCTTCTCTCCGTCGCCGCCAGAAATCACCCACCGGCGGCGGATCACCTCCAAACACCTCCAAATTAATACCATGTAATCTCCACAACCTTCTCTTCCCATATCTCCAAACCAATTCCTTCAAAAACCCCTCAAACTCCTTGAATTTTAGATCTAGGAAACTTTAGCCGCTACTTTTTGGTCCAAATTCTTGAAGTTCCGGCCAACACCACCCTACAACACATACATGATTGGATAGAGCTCCACGAGACCTATCTTTTCCTACCCATTTCACCCCCAAAATCCCCGTCGCCGCCGCCCCGCTCCTCACTGCTGCCGAGGCTCCACTGCCTCACCACCCAAAATGCCCTGAACCCCCATCTTAGCTATTTTTCGACCCAAAGACACTCGTTTCTTTTGGCGAGATGCTGAAACTCATTTCGTTCTAGCATCTACCCGAAAGAAACGTGCGTTTTTTTTGTCCGATTAGTGGTTAGTCGTTGTCCGATCTTTAGTGTATTAGTTATCTCTCATTTCGTTCTAGCATCTAGTCGTTGTCCGATTGTTAACGATGCTCGTTCTGTTTTGAGCATTAGTTTTTGAATNTGTTTTGAGCATTAGTTTGTGAATTTAGTTGTTTGTTTAGTAATTAGTTTGCACAAATCGAATTCATTCCCATCAAGTTGGTTTTAATACTTAGTTCAATTACGTTTTTAGTCTCGTCTATGCTTTGTCAGTTCATAGTTGTCCAAGTTTGATTTGTGTTGAGCAAGTAGTTTGTTGTTGATGGTTAAAATCTGAAGTTTAGTTTATTTTATCACAAAATAAGGTAATAGTATATTACTTTTACTAGAAGGGTGGCTGAAAGGACATTTTTTTTCCTTGCTTCTGACACAACAGATTTTCAGGCTGTCCTTTCACCTTTGGGACAGACCTTGAACAGTGTTTAGCACACAAAGTCAGTCTTTTGGACATATTTTTGGTGAAACAAAATCTGTCCAAAAATCTGACTTTATTTGCCTATTGAAAGGGCTGTTTTTCTCCTATAAAAAGAGACTTCTTACACTTAGAATAGAGATCCTTACTCACTGAAAAGGAACACACACTGATCACACATTTGTTGGACAGTCTTTACACCCTAAAAATACAACTTGGAGAGTAAAAAATCAGCAACTAAAGCACCATTTAGTAAGTTGAAATGGTGAGCTTTGTGAGTAAATTTTAGAGTGAAAACTTTTAGAAAAGTATAAGTCTTCTTTAGAGTTGGTTCTGAGTTTCTTCTAAGGTTTTTGGGCTGTTTAAAAATAAAACTGCTGCTGTTTTCTGCCTGTGTTTGATGCTGTTTTTGTTTTCCTGCTGAGCTCAATTTCTTCACTGCTGTATTTATTTTCTGCAATCCAGATATTTTCTTAAACTTTGCAATGCAAATTTTTATATTCAATCGATGAGGATATGGCTCTTTTTCAGCTCTATGGATACGCTTGATGTGCTTTACTGGAATAAATGAATGTTTAGCATGTTATTCATATAGTCATATTTCAGCATGTACATCTGTAATATTTGGCTGATCTTCCATTTTTCTTTACATGTGTAGCTCAAATAACATTATGCTAAGTGTATCTAGTTAAGGAAAAGAAATATCTTTTAGAATTATTATGTAGAGTTTAGTTTCCTTTGCCTTGGTTTTATGTATTTGTGGTTTTGTTATTTTAATTTTTCTCTTAGTGCTAAAAATAACTGATAGTAATACTTTTCTTCTTGGTTAAGTTGAAATGAAGTTGGGGAATAGTATGTGATGAGTGTGCGGGAGAGAAGAGAGAACCAGTGAAAGAATTTCTTAAATATGTTACTTAAATTGGAAAAACTCTTTAACTCACAATCAACACACATTATCTTTTTTGGGTAGAAATGGGGTGTGACAATTGTATCTTGGAATATGGTTATGGCTTGATGCAGCTTGTTTAGACTTATATTGTGTATAGATGCAAGGTCCGGGTATTATAATGAATTTCGGATCTTGGAGATTAGGTTCTAAGCTTTATGGACTAAGGTTGAAGAAAGGATCTTCAATTAGTTTGTGATGGCGAGCTTATATGGATTGAGGTGATGTGGGTTCACCCGTGAGTATGTGTACGGTAAGTTTATACAGTGATTTGATGGCTTTGAAATGACCCTTGGCATGTTTGAGTGCGAACGTATGTTTAAGCGAGGGAGAATATAACGACCTGACCAATGATTTCGAGTTTTGGCATTTTGTTCGGTAGTTTGAGGTCTTGAACAACTTCATATGATATATTACGGCTTGTTTGCATGGTTGGTTTGGTTCTAGGAAGATTTCAGAATGATTTGGAACACTTAGTTCCTAATTTGGAAGCTTACGTTACAAGTGCTGACCAAGTTTGATTTTGGTGTATTTGACCTCGGATCGGAGTTTTCATGATTTCGTTGGGTTCGAATGATGATTTTGGACTTACGCGTATGTTCGGCTTCGAAAGTTCCTATGTTGATTTGACTCTAATTGGCAGAAGTTAGAAGTTTGATGGCTTGGAGAGTTAATAAGTTTGACCCATAGTTGGCTTTGTAGTTATTGATTTCTATTTGGGATTCCAAGCCTTGGAATAGGTTTGCATGATGATGTATGACTTGTGTGTAAAATTTGATGTCATTCGGTGTTGTTTAGACATGTTCGACGTAAGTTTTCAATTTTAAAAATTTGGATTAGTTCATTAAGCTTGAATTAAGGTGCGATTCGTGGTTTTGATGTTATTTTGTATGATTTGAACCTTGAATAGGTCCGTGTTATATTTTGGGCCTGGTTGATGTGATTGGACGGGGTCCCGATGGCCTCAGGTGTGTTTCGGATGGGTTTCACACATTTTTTGTTTGTTTCGGAGATGTTGATTTTCTGATGTTTTGGTGTTCATCGTGATCGTGGATGAAGCATCACGATTGCGGAGTGTGATTTGGGTGGCTGGTGATTTTCCCTTCGCGTTCGCGATGAGGCTATCGTGTTTGTGGAGCTTGGAAGGATGTGGTCATCACGTTCGCATCCTGTGCGTCACGTTTGCGTAGAGGGAGAGTTGGATGGGGGTGCCCAATTGTTGACCTTCATGTTCGCGTGTGGGAGACCGCGTTCGCATAAGCCAGTGAAGGTGTGGGTTTGCGGGTGCCATACCGCGTTCGTGAAGGAGGATTTTGGCCAGTGTTTGATTTGTTCTTCGCAATCGCGAAGTAGGTCCCACGATCGCGAAGGGAACTCCTGGGCAGACCTATATAATTTCATTTCGAGGGTTTTAGTTATTTTATCATATTTTGAGATTGGGAGATTGATTTTAGGAAACGTTTGAGGAAAATTTCATGATTTAGATTTGGGTAAGTATTCTTGACTCGGATTTGGTTACTATTCACGATTCCATCCTTATTTTTAGTATTTAATTGATGAATCTAAGTGAGAGAAATTGGAGATTTTAGCAAAACTTTTCCAAAATAAAAAAATGGGGATTTAAACCCTGATTCAGAGTCGGATTTGGATAAAACTTGTATGGATGGACTCGTATTCAAATATGTGTTTGGAATTTGTGAATTTTATAGGGTTCCGAGAGGCGGGTCTGGGTTGATTTTTTAATTTGACTTTTTGATTTTTGTTCAAGATCGAAACTTTATTGTTTAGGGTTGTTTCCTATAGCTTTTATTGATGTTATTAAGTTAGTTTGGCTAGATTCGAGCCATCTAGAGGTTGATTCACGCGGGAAGGGATTTTAGGAGTAATGATTTGGTTTGTTTGAGGTAAGTATCTTTTCTAACCTTGTGTGGGGGAATACCCCTTAGGATTTAGCCTTGATTGCTTATTCGTGTTATGTGTAAAGCGATGTGTACATGAGGTGATGAGCTTCTACACGGGTGCTATGTGTGGTTTGCAACCAGAATAATTCTTAGGCTATTAATATGATTGTATATGAAATATGCTTAAACCACTTTGTGACTACATGATCGTGATCGCTATATTTGACTTAGCCATAGTCATGCTTTTATTTGTTGAGCATCCCTCTACACTTTTATGTTATTGTCATGTCCTTGAGTACCTTGTTGAAAGTTGTGAGCTTATATCTTGATAAAACTTTGGTATTATTATTTTGTGATATTGTGGCATATATGAACATATTATGTGGATTGATTATTATTTTGCGGTGTATAAGGGTGACATTTCGCTGTTGTTGATTGTATGGAGCGATACGAGTGGCTATTGTGATATTGTATGGATGGAGCAATACGGATGACTATTGTGATATTGTATAGGCAGAGCGATACAAGTGGCTATTGTGATATTATTTGGGCAGAGCGATACGAGTGGCTATTATGATATTATTTGGGCAGAGTAATACGTGTGGTTATTGTGATATTATCTGGACAGAGTAATACGGGTGGCTATTGTGATATTGTCAGGGTGGTGCGATAGGGTGACTATTGTATTATTGTCAGGGCGGAGTGATATGGATGGCTATTGTGACTTTGTTAGGGCGGAGTGATACGGGTGACTATTGTTGTTGTGATAAAAATGTGGGCACGATGTGCTATTTGGGTGAGTTTCTTTGTGATAACTTGTTGTTGAAACTGAGCCTTTACTTGTATTGAACTGTTATCACTTATTCTGATGAGGTTATTGCTATTGTATTTCTGCTACACTTTTGTTGTTAGTCTTTGATTTATTGCACAAGTTATTTTGACTGGTGAGTATCTCATTACTTGAACCTCGTCATTAATTCACCGAGGTTAGTCTTGATACTTACTGGATACTGACTGTGGTGTACTCATTCTACACTTCTGCATATTTTTGTGTAGATACATGTGTTGGAGGTAGCGTACCCAGGCAGTAAGAGCTTCTTTGCTCGTGAGGATTCAAGGTAGAGCTGCTTTGATCGTCGCAGTCCCTTGGAGTCCTTTCCTTATATTTATGCTGTCAACTCTCTATCCGAACAGTACATTGTTTTGAGATATTTTTATGTATTTATTTAGAGCATGTGACTCTGCACTACCTAGATCTAGGGATATGTTTATGATTATTGTCGTTTTTGCTTGTATCACCTTTATTTCCGTATTTATGTTAAACTCTGCTATATTCTATCATGTTTTTTGATTTAAATGTTGATAGGTGATCGACTTAATTACCTAATTTTCGAGACTAGGTGTCATCACGACCCTTACGGTGGAATTTGGGTCGTGACATATTTAAGCAAAAGTTGCAGATTGCTAATTGCAGATCCCATACAAAGAAATGAACAAAAGTTCATATGATAAAAACAACATTAATCTTGGAACTACATAGCATTTAATTTCTATGGTTGTTGAGGAATTGATCTTCCAAAAGCCTATTTGATTAGCTGATATATTCTAATTTCTAACATATTTGTGACCTTTCGTCTATAGAAATTCACCTTATAGTTATACGGATGTACATTTATAATTAAATGAATGCACCTATACATCCNATAGTTATACGGATGTACATTTATTATTAAATGAATGCACCTATACATCCCTATAATTCTGCTGGTTGATGTTCATTCGCACTGAACATCAACCAGCAGAGACTTATGAACTCCAGGACACGGATCACCGCCGAATTTCTTATATGACTGAGCAATAGTGCATTTCGTCTTCCCTAAACAAGCCTGAAAAATTCATATAGTAAAACTTGTGTTATTATTCATTGAAGTAAGGGTATATAAGTAACTAATGCTTTCTTGATTTTCTAAAGCGATACTTATTTTAGACCAAAATTAATTACGAAAACTATACTTATAAGTATACCTTTTCGACAATGGCTTTAGAGTTGGAGGAGTGGCATAACCCGGCGGCATAATCTTCACAATTACCATAAGGATTTCCAAAGCTTGCAAACAAAATTTTGGAAATATTGCTTCTCGGAGGACAATTAAGGTACACTTTAGGTCTTCTACCAGGGTGCCTTTCACTAAGTTTGTCGGACTTTCTCCAAGAAATTACTGGTGGTGGATTCGAATCCGTGACGTGCGCGCATACCTTTGTGACTGAAATTGCGTCGACAGTGATGTTAACAGTATTGCCCATTTCTTCCTCAAATACAACTAATAGGTTATTTCTAGGTTTGAGAAATGACCTTGGAACATTGTACCTACGTACAAATACACACTTGAACATTATTAATTTATACGGCACTGTCCTCTTGCTCACACGCATAAAATTGAAATTTTGTATATAACTAAGACATTTAACTAAATTAATGTAATAATAACGTACCAAGTTTGTGAAGGAAGACCTGCAGATGTGTGAAATGAGACCCAATATCTGCCGATACTTTGGCCATTAACCCAAGCTTCACCTTTCCCCATGGACCCAAGATTTAGAGCAATTGGACCTTTCCCCTTGGGTGCACTGAAAGTGGACTGAACAATTGCAGTTGACTGAATTATTGGTCGACTAAAATAACAGGCAAATATAAGGTTTACTACAGATAAATATCAGAATTTTAGACTAGGTGATGCAGGACAAGACGAATATTTTTGAAAAAAAAATAAAGAAATAGATTTAGAGAGAAAAGATCAAATGCTGACTAAGGGGTTACAGACAATGATATCCTAAATCAACCATTACATGAGTACTTATAACCTCCAGTTTATAAAGATTAATCCTAACAATAACGTAATTGATAAACAATAAATTTCTAAAACTTGAGGTAGTAAAAGAGCCTTGTGTAGCGGTAAAAGTTGACAAAGTATGATCAGGACGTGACAGGTTTAAGGCGCAGAAACAACCTCGCAAAAATAATATGTAAAGTTACATACAATAGGTCCGAAGAGCCTACTATACAATTTATATAAAGGATCCATATTCTTACCTTGTACCATGTGAGCTGTTGAGAAGAGCCTAAGCTGCTCCAATTAGCATTCTTCGATCCTTCATATGTGTAAATTTGTAACTTTTCACCTAACAGTCCAACCTTAAAACACCATTTCGAAAAGACGTAAGCTTAACATATAACAATTCTGCTCTCTAAATATATAATTATGCTTAACTTGAAAGTTAAAACCAAAGATTTTCTGTTTTAAAAAATTATTGGATGGGAAAAATTAGCTGGAGCTAGTAGATATTACCTGATAACCCCAGGGGGAAACAGTGAAATTTTTGACCCCTCGGCTGTTTTGAATAATCACTGAACGTACACCGAGAGACCTGCGCTCAAGAAATGCTCCTGAATCCTGCATATTAAAAGAATAGTAGTATATCTAAGAACTGCAATTAGAAAAAATAAGTTCTTAAGCAATAGTTAATACTAATTAACAACACACAATTGTAAGAAAGTTAAACTGTAATTGACAATGTATTCAGGTATAGAGAGTGATCTTTATACTTAATCTTAATCCAGAAAAACTTAAAGAAAAAATAAAAAATGCAGGATTAAGTACAAACCGGTAAGCCAACCGTTGCACTCAGTAATGAGATTTGGTTTGTCCCTTTATTTAGAGCAACCGTGCTTTCTAGTGTAAATGATGTATTTCTAAATTGTCCATGAGCAGACCCTACAAAAAGAGGACACAACAAAAAAATTAAAATTATGAATGATTTCATCCAATTGTACTTTGCTAGTTAATAAATTTATCCTTAAATGGAATGCACTAAGCGAAACAATCAACCTATTGATATTAGAAGATTCAATGGATTGACGATTCTCTTCATACCCATAAAGTGAACCCTATTTAGGTCGTTATATCTTAGATAAGTAAACACCAACTTCATTATTATGCTGCAAATTAACAGAACAGCTCACCCACAAGAGCTCCATTCACAAAAGCATGTAAAACATGGCCTAAGGACTTCACACTTAGTCT